CTTTCTTCTTCTTTTTTTCCATCTTAAAAACTCTCAGAACAGAACTAATCCACTCCCAGGTCCTCTGTTTTTATTTAACTCCCTCAATGCCATTTGAATACATTAAAATTCTGACAGGACACTTGTTTCTTCTCTCTGTATTAATATGTCAGCTCTCAATTATATATCCCTTCCCATTGCTCAAATAAATTTAACTTTCTAGTTTTCTCTTGAGTATTGTCTGTCCATTTCAACATTCCTGCTCAACTCTGCTATTTTTATCAGGAATTCTGGAAATTTTTCTATTCTACTAAAGGTCCATTCCCTCTCCTGTAGGATTATGTTCATCTCTACAGGTTGTTATTCTTGGTCATAAGATCATATCTTTTGCCTTTTGGAATATTATATCCCATATCTCCTCTCATTTATACTATGTTGCTAGAGATTGACTGTGGTTTCTTGATATGTGAATTCTTTCTTTACTGCCTTCTTGAAGTATTTTTTTGATATAGAGCTCTGGATATTGGTTATGATACTACTGGGGCTTCTCCTTTTTGAGTTTTTTTCCCCCCAAGAGAGTGATTGGTGGATTCTTTTTATTTTCACTTTGTATTCTGGTTCTAATAGGTCTGATCAATCAATTAAACATTTATGAAGTGCCTACTATATGCCAGGCACTGGGGATAGAAAAAGAGGCAAAAGACAGTTCTTATCCTCAGGAAGTCTCATAACTTAATTGGGGAGGCAGCATACAAACAAATATATGCAAATAAGCTAATTGGCAGAGGGAAGGCACAAGAATTAAGAGGGGGTGGGGAAAGCTTCCAGTGAAAAATGGGATTTTAGTTGGGACTAAAAGAAGCCAGGAAAGACAGTAAGTGAAGTTGAGGAGGGAGAGTGTTCCAGGCTCAGGTGATAGCCAGAAAAATGCCTGGAGTTGAGAGATGGAGGGTCTTGTTTGTAGATAAGCTAGAAGGCCAGTGTCACTGAATGCCGAAGTAGGGAATAAGTTATAAGAAAACTGGAAAGATAGGAAGGGGCTAGGTTATGAAGGATTTTGAATGCCATTCAGATGTGACATAAAAGCTGTTTTAAAATGTTTGAGGAGCTGTTATGAAGAAATGGAGTTAATCTCTTTTTATGTAGTTACAAAGGACAAAACCAAGATTATTGACAAGATTTACAGTGAAGTAGACTTTTGTTCAATATAAGCAAAAACTTTCTAATAATTAGTGATGTCCCAAAGCAGAACAGTGGAAACTCTTAAGGAAAGGTTAGATGACTAATTTATCCGTCAGGAACATAGTAATGAATTTATGAATGTAGTAGTAGGGTTAATTCAAGACCAACCTAGACACAAATTTCTATTTAAAAGACTTAGAGGCTGTTCTTTTGGAACCTGCCCAAATTACTGAGAAAAGTAGAGTGAAAGTCTAAATAGCTTGACATTTTTTATTTCCCCTAAATAATACTGAGGCAACTATATGGCATGGTGGATAAAGTGGTGGACCTGATGTCAAAAAGATGAGACATTTACTAGCTGTGTGACCCTGGGTAAATCACTTAACTTTTGCCTCAGTTTCTTTATTGATAAAATGGGAATAATAATAGCATCTATATCCTCAGGTTGTTGCAAGGATAAAATGAGATAATATTTACGAAGTGCTTTGTAAACCTTATAATGTTATATACATGCTACCTATTATTATTCATATTATTTTTAATATCTAAATTCCACTTCAGTGTTTAATGTTTGGAAAAATACTTTTCCTTGAGTTGAATGATTAATAGAAAATCATTAAATTAAATTTTCCTGGTTGAAATTGAATGGCTGAAGTTACCTTCAGAATGAATTAGGGAAAATTGGTAGTTAATTATCAAACAATCAAAATTTTTTTTAATACTTAGTATGTGCATGATATTCTAGGATCCCTAAAGAAATATGTCATGGTACCTAGTCTCAAAGTCTTTGTTTATAGTTTAGTTTAATGAGATTATATATATACATATATACATACATAGTAGGTGGTTGTATGTATATGTATACACACATGTATATATACATACATATACATATATTTACATATATGAACACATGTAGAGGAGAGGCATAATTGGTAGCTATAGTTTTCTGACCTAGCAAACTGTCATCAGGAATAATGTTTTCCAGAATATCTATTTTTACGCTCATGGCTTCCACTGTCAGTTTCATATTATTGGCTCCCAGACTTGACCTTTTGTCCCAGATCTCTATTTCCAATATATCTAAAATAGTGATGAAATTCCTATGGTACCCCCCCCCCCAAATAGAATGCTTCCTGGATTTATCTATGGCCACTTTCCACTCTCCGAGGCCTGTCCTTTGACCTCCTCTCATGTAAGGCACAAGTAAAATATATTCTAAGCCATCAGGTTAGGGTATACCAAATATTTGGTTAGAGGTTTTTAACCAAAAACAGTATCAAAAGTCCACAAGACACGCATTGCAACTGGATTTATTACAAGAAAAAGGTATACGTATGTGGGAACTTCTTATACGAAGGAGCCCAATGGTGCAGGGAAAACCTTGGGTTTTAAGTTATTGAGCAAAGGGGAAGTCATAGGGGAGGGGAAAAGGATTAATCATCTCCTAAAGGGAAGGCAAAAAGTGATGGTAAAAGCAGCATTCTTTTCCCTTAGGAACTGTAAGTCCAAGAAGAAAGGATGGTCTGCTTATCTACAAGGGTCCCAGCTGCACAAAACAGTTTCTCAGTCTGGTGCAGACTGAATGGAGCCTGTCTTGACTGTCAAGGACATAGGGAGCCAGCTTGGAGTTCAAAAAACAAATTTTATCAGCTCAAGGGGGTGCTTTATCCTTGGCACATTTAGGGCCTCCTGCATACTCCGGGTCCAGTGTGTCCAGAAAATATGTCAACTCAAGAAGACAAAGGGGGCCCCTTAACACAGTGCAAGAGAACCTCAGGGCACAAACCACCTACAAATTAGGAAAGTTATAGTTACACAGAGAGTTCAGGGTCTTTTTAAAATTTAATTTCCTAGTTATTTAACTTATAGCTTTTTTTTTAAAAAAAAATAGCTACAAATGAAGTGATATGTTTTCTCTTCATGTTTCTAGTACATTTTGAACTTTGGTTGCAGTTAACTACTTGGCTATCCAAACTCTAATTCAATAGCTTCTTTCACCTACTCACATAATTTCCATGTACTAAAATCCTCATTTCCCAGGCAGCCATATTCCTAAGATCAACTTTCCTGAGCTGTTCCTGCTTTTAAGCTTTCCCAACTGTCTGCACTATTCAGCTCCATAATCTGAGTTAATCATCAATCAAAAAGCATTTATTAAGTACCTAAATGCCAGGCACTTTGCTAGGCACTGGGGATACAAAGACAAAAGGAAAACAGTCCTTGCTGTCAAGAAGCTTACATTCTAACAGAGGAGACAACACACAAAGAGGTATACACAAATCAGAAAATGGGACCAGGAAAAGCCTCATGAAGAGGTGGGGTTTGAGTTGAATCCTGAAGAAAACTGAGCATTCCAAGAGGCAGAAGTGGGGAGGGAGTACATTCTGGGCAGAAATAGGAAACATCTAGTACAAAGGCATCAGACAGGAGATAGAATATTGTGTGTGAAGAAAAGCACGAAGGACAATTTGGCTGGACCCAGAGTGTGTGGAAGTGAGAAATATGTAAGAAAGCTAGAAAGGTAAGGTGAGGCCATGTTGTAAAGTGCTTTAAATGACCAACAGAGGATTTTATGTTAATTCTCAGAGTAATTGCCACTGGCATTTATTGACTACTTGGGCTATCATGGTTAATATGCTTTAGAAAAACTATTTTGGTGGTTTGTTGTATGGGGAATAAAATATATGTGTATATGTATATATGTATATGTATATATGTATATGTACACATGTGTATTTATGTATGTATGTATGTATATGTATAGGGGAAAGCATTGAACCATGAGACTTATCAGTAAGCTAATGTAAAAGTTTAAGTGAGAAGTGATTAAAGCCTCAAGTAGGATGATGGTCATGTGAGTGGAAAAAAGAGAACATAGGTAAGATGTGAGGAGGCAGAAAGGACAAGATTTGCCAACTCATAATTCACTTTTTTCATACTTTATGAGCTCTGATTTCTCTAAAAGTTCTACACTTCACTCTGTTATGAGAATTTTAGATTTTGACTTTCTTTTATTAATTTTTATTGTTGGGGGGTAGATTAAGGCTATTTCTCCTAGTTAGAAGTTTATTGAGCTGGCTGAAACCTGTCCCATGGGATGTAAAAATTTACTTAAGACCTCAAATATTCCTCAGATAAGGAGCCGAAATGGGAGTCAAGGTTTCCCCAAATAATTTGACTTGCCTTTTTTGAGGAAGGATACCAACTGGCTTTAACTCTGTAGTTAACATTGAGGCATATAAATCTCCCCTCTCAATCAGCCCACTATGAAGCCCCTAAATGTAGTTTAATCTGTTAACTTGACTTAGTTTATATATAGAATCTGTTTAACCAGGTCTGTTTCCTTAGGAGATATATGAGATTATGATTCTGTTTAGGATTGTTCAACTTTATGGCTTACGAGGATACATGAGACTGCTGTATGTCAAAAATTATTTCTTTGTATGTCTGATGTAATTGTCTTTCTAAAGGCTTGTCAGAAACTCCAATCTTTATTCAGTGTTATTTTTCTACCTCCTAAACTTGTGTTTAAGTATAATAACACCAAGTTTTTAACCTTTAACCTTTGCTTTGTGGTAGATTTATTTGGCAGCAGTAACCTACCACATGAACTCTAAGAGGTGATATTTCTCCTATAACACCTCCCACTCCAGGGGAAAGGAACTTAATGAACTAAATTTCCAATACTTGTCTTTTCAGATAAAATTAACACATGACATCAGTATACTTTAAATTACTCTGGTTTCAGTTAGATGAAGATTTATTCCTAAATCCATATATGATTCAGGAGGCGGGGGGAAGGCTTGATTTCTTGGCTACACCCACAAATTACTCACTTAAGGAAGACTTCCTCCATAGTTGTAACAGAGGCCCCATAGCTAGAAATGCCTAGCATTTTCTGATTCTCTTCTAATTCAGTAAACAATTCTTCAAACCTAGAAGAAATGGCAAAGAGAAAGAAAACGTGCCATTCTGGTTCATTCTAGTTGCATTTCTAACATTTTGTCACAGTCTCTTAATTTTTCCCCTCATAGGATAGACAAATTAATGAATTAGTTCTTTATTATAATACTCTTGAAGTTTATGCATCCATTCTAAGCCAGAAAGGTAATGAAATAATAGGAGAAGGAGATAATAAACAATTCTGGTGGAACCTTACCTTAACCAACTACCTAAGCTAGTAATATTGAATAGGCTGGATAATGGCTACACCTGGTTAAGGGTAACTGTATAATGAGTAAAGAGATGTCACCACTGTCTCATCCAGGAAAGACAAATGGACTGAGTCTCATCAAAGGAAAAGTCAGGCACTGTTGTAGAGGGAGAGAATATTTACAGAAAAAGAGAAGCACTAGTATCTGGGGACCAGGAAAGACTTGCTTTCTTAAACAGCTTGGCTAGACAGTTAGGATCTAGTCCTTACTATTCAAGGTGGAATTAAGAGAAGAATAAAAAATTTATGAACATTGACAGAAAGCCATGGACCAGAAATAATTGGCACTAGGGTAACCAAGACAACTGCATGCAGCTTGGAGAGATCTTCAGCAAAATGGATGAATTTGGAATCTATATATAATTTATATGCCTGCAAATACCTGTCTGTAAATACTCTGTCCTTATACATCTTTATGGCTATAATAAAATAATTTGTGTTGCATTTAAAAAATGCCAACGAGGAGAAGAATGCCTTAAAAAGCAAAACTGGCCAAATGGAAAAGGAGGTCCAAAAGCTCACTGAAAAAAATAATTCCTTAAAAATTAGAATGGAGCAAATGGAAGCTAGTGACTTTATGAGAAATCAAGAAAGTATAAAATAAAACCAAAAGAATGAAAAAATAGAATACAATGTGAAATATTGCACTGCAAAAACAACTGATCTGGAAAATAGAGCCAGGAGAGATAATTTAAAAATTATTGGACTACCTGAAAGCCATGATCAAAAAAAAAAAGAGCCTAGACATCATCTTTCAAGAAATCATTGCGGCAGCTAGGTGCTGCAATGGATAAAGCACTGGTCCCAGAGTCAGGAGGCCCTGAGTTCAAATTTGGCCTCAGACACATAATAATTACTAACTGTGTGACTCTGGGCAAGTCACTTAACCCCAACTGCCTCACAAAAAAAGAAATCATCAAGGAAAATTACCTTGATATTCTAGAACCAGAGGATAAAATAGTCCTTGAAAGAATCAACCAATCACCTCCTGAAAGAGATCCCAAAAAGAAAATTCCCAGGAATATTATAGCCAAATTTCAGAGTTCCCAGGTCAAGGAGAAAATATTACAAGTAGCCAGAAAGAAACAATTCAAATATTGTGGAAACATAATCAAGATAACACAAGATTTAGCAGCTGCTGGCAGACTTCAGAAAAACCTGAAAAGACTTATATGAACTGATGTTGAGTGAAGTAAGCAGAACCGGGAGAACATTGTACACAATAACAGCCACGTTGTGCAAGGAAGAACTTTGAGAGACTTAGCCCTTCTTAGCAATGCAAGGATCTAAGACATCTCCAAAAATCTCATGATGGAAAATGCTATCCACATCCAAAGAAAAAACTATGGAGTTCGAATGCAGATCGAAGCATACTATTTCCTATTTTTTTCCTTCTGTTTTGTTTTGTGTCTTCTTTCTTGTGGTTCCTTCTATTGGTTCTAATTCTTCCTTACAACATGACTAAAGTGAAAATGTTTTAATAGGAATGTATATGTAGAGCTTATATCAGATTGCGTGCCATCTTGGGGAGAAAGGAATACAGGAAAAGTAACTAAATAATTAAAGTATGAATATCATCAGCTCAACGCTTTTTGGATTCATACCTTTCAGCATTCTCTTTGGGTAGGATAAATGATAACTCAGCTCCAACATTACTCTCCATTGTGGCATTTGGTACATAGCGATAAATCAGTTCGGAAATTTTCTTTATTTCACACTGAGGTTCCTTCACCATGATCAAGTGATATCCAGCACCTGAAATAATTTTAAAAATCAAATGAAAGCTTTACTTTTTCTATCACCCTTGATAGACCATATATGGCAGCTCCAATGGAAAAGGTAACTGGAGAGTCATATGTAACTTGGCTACAATTGTTAAGATTTTTCCTAGAGCCTCTAAATGCTACTCTCAATTTTTGTCTTCTCAGATGGTGAATGTTAAACACAGGGCCTAACCTCGAAAGAGTATTTTCATGAGTATATAATCAAGCAGGTGAGGAAAACTCTTGGTATGAGACCCTAGAATCGCTAAATGTTGGAGTAAAGGCCAAAGACATTTGTAGGGAAGATAATTTGGGGGTTTGAACAAATATTTCTCATAGTAATTTCTCTCAGGGAGTAATAATCTATCTGATGCCTGGGACTAGGTTTAGAAGTAGCAGAAAATGGAATTTTTGGGAAGAAAAGTTTCTGTAATATAGCTTCCATTCTGCTTCCTGCTGTCCCACTAAATTTAAACTTGCTTTATTAAAGGTCAGCAGTGACCTTCTTGATAAATCCAAAAGGTTTTTCATAATCTTCATTCTCCTTCACCTATGCTTTGATTAAGTATTGTTGAACACTCCACTCTTGGAAATTCTCTTTTCCTTTATTCCCCTAATACTCTTTCTACCTTTTCTAGAGCTCCATCTTTTTTTTTTTCCTTCATCCTCTTATGTCATAATAATAAGTATTTATTCAGGCTAAATTCGTGGCCCTTTGCTATTTTCTCTCTATACTTTATTCCTTAGGGAATTCACATTCTCATGACTTCATATACAAAACTTATGCTAATAAGGTTCTAAATCTAAAACAGAATTAGATTAAATAGTGATTAATATTAGTAAAAGATTGGTGAGAAGGTCCCTGACTTTCATATATATGTGTTGTATTTCTTTAAATCTTGGTTTTAATTGGGAATAACTGTTTCTAATTCATAGATTTTAAAATGTGTTATTTTAATAGCAATAATTTAATAATAATTTTCTTTTTCATATTAAAACACAAGGAAAGTCTTGGCACTCAGATCATGGGATACATAATCCATAACACAGGTACCACTGTTGACCTGATGGCAATTACACATATTGAAGATGTAAAACCTAGGAGAAAACAGCCTTTGAAAAAGTAACTTTACAAACCGAAATCTACAGAATGAGGGCATCATCTCAAATCTTTATATTTAATCTTCCAATATTTTTTGCTCTTATACCACCTAAACTTAGGGGCTTATGCCTATACCTAGCACTAATTGGGTTATCATTTACTCATTTCTCTTCCTTCTCCTGGTTACCAATGGTATCAGTTGGTTATCTTGGTAACCAATCTTGTATTCCTTAAAGAACATTTAACTATGTCTCTTCTACTTAAAAACACACACTTGCCTCCTGAATAAAATAAAATAAAATCCAAATCTACATTTCAAGTCTGTCATAACCTAGCTTTAGATTTCTATTACTTTATTTCTGTTACCCTTATTTTCCACTGTTCCCCCTTAGGAACCCTTTATTCCAGCTTGGTTTCCTTACTCACAGACCATGACCTCTCTCACCTCTATTCATCTGTTTACATTGTTTCCTCTTTATTAAATGCCCTCCTCTCCCTTCTGACAACCCAAACACCATTTATTCTACAGTTTATAGTTCAAGTCTCATCTCCAATAGAAAATCTTACTCTACTACTCCAGTTCACAAAGATCTTCTTCTTTGTAAAAATCTTACAAACAATATAAACATTTAATTATACAATATATTCTAACTGTTATGGGTCTTGCCTCTCCAACTAGATTGTGAGCTCTTCTGGAGCAATGATTTCACAAGTAGGCCATGTACTTCCTGTCCCCATCAGTTACAAAAAGAATGCTGGCACATTTCAGGAACTAAAATGAAAGTGATCTGCAAACCATGTGCTTTCATTAAGGTGAGTATTTGAATTAGTCTACCCAGGGAAAACAAAGGGCTGAGATTTTGGACATGATAGTACATTCTATACATTAGGTGGAAATGAGCGTGATATTATCTGTGGGCTAGTGATATGGTTTGCCTGACTAGAGTAGAGGGTACATATATCAGAAAACAGTGGTAAATAAGTTTGGAGAGTTAAAATGGAGTCAGTTAACAGAAGATGAAGTGAGGCAGAAAAATTTAAATATGAACAATAGGAAATAGGAAACCATTTTAATTTTTAGTTTAGTTTTACTGAGGAAATTCATTATGAAAATCATAACTAAGAAAGATTAGTCTGGCAGCAGTAATGTTGGTAGGATCAAAGGGGGTGAAAACTAGAGAGACCATATTTATGTTTGAGGAATAGTGAAGAGCCACAGCACTGCAGGTCTCCGTTGGCCATAATGGCAATGCGGTCACCCAGCAAGTCAGCCTCGTCCATATGGTGGGTGGTCAGCAGGATGGTACGGCTACTTTTCTGCTGTTGAAGGAGATTCCAGGTAGCCCTTCGTGAGATCAAATCCATACCAGATGTAGGTTCATCTAGCATTACAACCTACAGGCCAGAAAGAGAACTTAGTGACATTGGTAACTGGTGCTATATCATATGTGGAATCTCTTACTATTCATGGAGCCCAGCTGAGATTCGCTTTGTATTTGTTTTTCTGATTAAGGTAAAAGAAAAAGTGGTTGAGTCGTTTGTCTGACTTCAGATAAGTTCAGGCTAAGTCAGAGCTAGTCCTTGGAAACCTTATTACCACACCAATCCCATAACCTTATATCAGACCCATTATTATTTTTCTTCACTGATTATATCTTAGGAAGTCCTTTTTAGAGGATTATGTTTATAATATCTCACTTAAGTTTTACATAAGCTAACATTTCTAATTAGACAACAGTAAGGATCATTTAGACCAGATTCATTACCTTAGAGTCTCCTATGAGAGCAATACTGATGGAGAGTTTGCGCTTCATCCCTCCACTCAGTGAATTTGAAAATGCATTTCGCTTTTCTTCCAGGTTAAAAATATTCAACATGTGATCAATTTCATTTTTTAAATTCTTTTTAGAAAATCCTTTCAGCTAAAACACCAAGAGAGAACATTTAAGTAGTCTTCTAAATTTGAGTAAGAATCTTAAGAGTCAGAGCTAGCAGAGACCTTAGAGATAATTTACTGTCATATGACAGATGATGAAATTAAGGTCCATAAAAGCAAAGTGCTCAATAAGTGACAGAGCTGGGATCTGTCTTCTAACGCTTGATCCAAATACTCTTCCCACTCAACTACACTGCTACAACTTAGAGCAACTTTAGTTTCAGATGTTCTCTCCCCACTGATCTTATTTTGTTTTAAAAGGATTAAGGTAGTGCTATACATTGTAAAGAGTGCAAGATTTGGACCTGAAGGATCTACCTTTTAAATCTTGGGAAAATCAAGTAACCCCTTTGGGCCTCAGTTATTTATTTGTAGAGGGTTTGGGCTAGATGGCTTCTAAGTTCCTTTCCAGCTGTAAATCTACGAGAATACTATTTTGGGTCATTCTAAGGGCACTATTTCTTAGACCCATCACTCCCAAGCATGTGAACAGAGAAAAAAATTTTCTCTTTGGATTACCATAGCGAAGAAGTAAAGATGTTCTGATACAGTCAAGTAATCAAACAAGAGATCGCGCTGGGGGCATAAACCCAGGTTTTTTCGGATCTCAGCCATTTCCCTTGTGATTTCAAAGCCATTGATATACGCCTGTCCACTTGTAGGAGGATACAGACCTGAGGACCAACCAAAAGATATCTCAGAAGCTTATTATAGCTTATAGCTCAGAAGTAACAGAACTTTTGTTTTCAAGTTCTCATAAGAAATCAGACTAAATGAATCCCTTCTACTTTAACCAATTTGATTCAATAAAGAATTATTTAATGCTACTACATGTAAGATAATGATTTAAGTACTGGAGATAATAAAAAATTATATAGTCCCTACTTTCAGGGAGATTATTCTACTGGGGGAATTGTCACGAATGAAGATCAATAAAAGTGGAAGAGAATGATATGGACAAAAGAGAGATCCAGGGAAAACACATTAGGGAAACATATGTGAAGAAAAGACTTTCAGCTGGGGTATTAGAGAAGGCTTCATCCAGGAGGTAGCACTTGGACTGAGCATAGATAAAAGAGAAAGATTTTGAAATTCAGAGATCTGTAAAGTACGCGTTCCAGGTATGCCTGTGCAAATGCACGAAGGTAGGAAAAACATATCCTTGATACTCCACTTTCTTTGTTAATGGTTATATACATATTTGTTGCCTTGGATCACACCCTCTCACCCAAGCTAAATGGAGGACTGGCTGGGCCAAATGCTGGTAAAGAGGCCAGTTTTCTACTCCCACCCCTCCCACCTCTCAGATGCTTCACTTTGGCTATAATAGGTCCAAATAGGGCCAGAAGTGTGTGTACTGAGGAGAGGAAGCCATAGAGGACACACTTGGTTTGAAAAGGGTGTAGAGGCAGGAGGGAGAAAATAACAAGCTCTTTGATGGCAGAGGCTATCTTTCTTTTTTCTTATTTGTATCCTTAGTGCATTGAGTACATTGAACTTAGGGAACAGCTAGTGGCCCAGTTTGGCTGTAAAGTATGGCACATGAAGAAGAATAATATGAAATAAAGCCAGAAAGATGAACTAGAATGATATCATAAAGGACTTTCAATGACAGGCTGAAAAGTCTGCACCTTATTTTAAGGCAATAAGAATTCACTGAAAATTTCTGAACCCAGCAGAGTGACCAAATCCAACTTAAATCTTAAAACAATTATTTTGACAGCTGCATGAAGGATGGAATGATGAGAAGAGAGACTGTAATAGTTCAAGTGAGAAGTAATTAAGATGTGAACTATGGTGGCGGTTGTTTGAATGAAGAGGGGACAGATATGAAAAATGTTGCAAAGGTAGAACGACAAGACTTGGCGATGGAATGGCACTAGAAGGTAACAAAGAGTAAATAATTTAACATGGTTCCAAGGTTTCAGACCTAGGTGATTGGAAAGATGATTGCACCACCACAAGAAATAGTCAAATTAGAAGGGTGATGGAAGAAATTTATGAGTTCACTTGTGGGCATGATGAATTTGAGGTGTGCACATGATACTCAGGGAAGGAAATCCAGTGGCAGTTGGGAGACATGTGATTGCAGCTCAAGGGAGATATATTAAATTTGAATTTATTAAGGTGGTGATTAAACCCTTGGGAGCAGATTAGGTCACTAAGGAAGAAAGTGTAGAAAGAAAATGGAAGTGGGCTTGGACTTAGACTTGGAGGTTGCTCATGCATGCTTAGATGGTAGGAGAAGGATAACAAACTAGCAAAAGAGATTGAAAAGGAATTGAGAGCAGTATCATGAAAGGCAAGATAAGAAAGTTTATCTAAAAGAAAAAGAAAAGAGGATGAAGATTATTTTTGAATTAAGAGATCATTAGTGACTTTTGTTGAAGTAAATACAATAGAGTAGCAGAGTCAGAAGCAAGGGGTTGAGAAGTGAAGTGGTGAAGAAATGAAGGCGATGAGTAAAGGCAATTCTTTTTAGGAGTTTAGCAGCAAGAAAAGGAGATATACAACATGGGGATGGCTGGATTAAGCAAATTTTTTTTTTTTTTTGGCGAGGCAATTGGGGTTAAGTGACTTGCCCAGGGTCACACAGCTAGAAAGTGTCAAGTGTCTTGTCTGAGACTGGATTTGAACTTAGGTCCTCCTGACTCCAGAACCAGGGCCAGTAATCTATCCACTGTGCCACTTCGCTGCCTCCAAAATTTTTTAAAGCTAGGGGCTACCTGAGCACATTTGTAGAGAGTGAGGACATAGCCAGTAGATAGGGAGAGTATGAAGAAAAGATGAGATACTGAATATGAATTAATGGGAAAATAGGAAAAGTTTGGCAGATATTAGATTTAGACCAAATACAACAATAAGCTCAAAATGAATGAGCAAGCCAAACACAAAAGTTCTTATCATTCTGGAAAACAATCTGTCATTATTCAAGAAAAGTTAACAAACTGCTCATATTCTTTTAGCTCAGCGCCAGATTTGCACCCAAAGGAAATCAAACAGAAAAAGACAGGGCCCTTATATATATAAATATTGATAATAATACTTTTTGTGTTAGTAAGATATTGAAAACAAAATAGGTGCTATTGACTGGGAAATCATGAACCAACTGGGACATATGAATATAATGTGAGAAATGCATTGTGAGAAATGATGAATGTCTCTTGGTGGAGAAGTAGAGCACTATGGGTACTGAATATTGCACGTGCTATACTATGGAGCGGCTATGTGGGTGTTTCTTAAAAGTTTTTCTTTGTGAAGATGATACAAATGAAAGTTTTAAATAATGTCTAAGACATAGGGTGGCTGAGATGGGGAGCTCCTCAAATTATAGGGAATTGAATATGTAAAAATCTCAGGAGCAAGGAAGTCATATGTAGGAAACAAATAAATTAGCTTTTAGGCTGTGAGACTGTGGAGGTTATTGTTCTCCTTTATGTTCTGATCTAGAGGTCACTGCTAGTGACCACAGCATCTGGAACAAAGTGAGAGGTTGTAGTGTGGTATAGTATATAGACGATTAGGTTCAAAGTTAGGAAATACTGTCCTGTCTTTGACAGCCATTACCTATGTTATTATGGCTTAACCTCTCAGTGCTCCCACGCAACTCTCTAAGACTAAATCATAGATGAGTTGCCATGCTGGATTTGTGGAAAGATATTCTATGCTGAAAGTCCCCTACACTAATCAAACAATAAATCTGTCATGCCTCCCCTACAAAATGGAATAGATATCTTGCAAATGACTAAACCTTGATGAAAAGGGCGCAGAGCCAAGATGGCGGAGTAAAAGCAGTGACTTGCTTGAGCTTTCCCCCAAACCCCTCCAAATACCTGTAAAAAATAACTCTAAACGAATTCTAGAGCAGCAGAACCCACAAAAAGGCAGAGTGAAACAAATTTCCAGCCCAAGACAACCTGGATGGTTGATGGGAAATGTTGTGCCAGGCTGGGAGAGGAGTACAGTTCACTGTGGGCCCCAAAAGCAAAGAGGGGGCCCCAGCAAACCTGGAGCAGGCCTCAGGAAACTGAATCATGGGCAGCTTGGTGGCCTCCAGACTTCTCAACCCACAAATGCCAAAGACAACATAGAAGGTCAGTGGGAAAGGTCTGTCAGACCTGGGTGAGAGAAGAGTGCAGTCCAGTTCTGGCCCCAACGCAGTCCCAGGGTGGTGGCCACAGTGGCAGCAGCTGCTTCTAGAGTTCTTGGCCCACAGATGGTAAGGGGATAGAGCAGCTGATTAGAAGGTGATTGCAGGGATCTCTTGGCTGGCACGAAGGCAGGATTCTCTTGCTTTGCTCCTGCTTGGATCTGGGTCGTAGTACTGGGTAGCAGTTATGGAGTGAGGAGGAGCGCTGGTATGGTGAAGCTCGTGGTGGCGGTGGAGAGGGAATCCTCCTCACAGTTCCAAGGCAGAAAAGAGTGCTTGTGGTCACTTATAGACCAGAGCCCAGGCCAGGAAAGGAGTAAACACCTCGCCCTTGATTGTACCACCTTGGAAGAACTGAAAATTTACAGGTCTCTAAAGTATCTCTGAAAACTGCTGCTCAAAACTCCTGAAGCTTGGAACAGTACACCCTCCACACTGGAAGCAGAGCTCTATCTTAACAGAGTTAAAAAGTCAAGAAATTGGCCAGGAACATGAGCAGGCAGTGGAAAAAAAACTTAGATTATAGAATCTTACTTTGGTGAAAAAGAAGATCAAAACATACAACCAGAAGAAGACAACAAAGTCAAAGCTCCTACATCCAAAGCCTCCAAGAAAAATATGAATTAGTCTGAAGCCATGGAAGAGCTCAAAAAGGATTTTGAAAAGCAAGTAAAGGAAGCAGAGGAAAAATTGAGAGTGATGATGAAGGAGACCCAAAAAAATATTGAAGAAAATACACACAACGATCACCTCCGAAAGAGATCCCAAAAGGAACACTCCCAGGAATATTATAGCGAAATTCCAGAGTTCCCAGGTCAAGAAGAAAATATTGCAAGCAGCCAGAAAGAAATAATTCAACTATTGTGGAAACACAATCAGGATAACACAAGATTTAGCAGCTTCTACATTAAGAGATTGGAGGCTTGGAATATGATATTCTGGAGGTCAAAGGAATTAGGATTAAAACCAAGAATCACCTAACCAGAAAAACTGAGTATAATCAATGAGGGGAAAAAATAGATTTTCAATGATGTAGAGGAATTTAATGTATTCTTGAGAAGTCAGAGCTGAGTAGAAAAACTGACTTGCAAATACAAGACTCAAGAGTAGCATGAAAAGGTAAACAGAAAAGAGAAATCATAAGGGACTTATTAAAGTTGAACTGTTTACATTCCTACATGGAAAGATAATATTTGTAACTTATAAGAACTTTCTCATTATTAGAGTTGTAGGAGGGAATATATACATATACATACATACATATATGTGTATGTGTGTGTGTTTGTGCATGTATGTGTGTGTGTATATATATAGATATATATATAGAGGGCACAGGTGAGTTGAATATGAAGGGGATGATATTTAAAAAAGAAAATTAAAGGGTGAGAATGTACTAGGAGAAGGAGAAAGGGAGAGGTAAAATGGGGTAAATTATCTCACATAAATGAAGCAAGAAAAAGCTTTTACAGTGGAGGGAAAGGGGAGGGAGGTGAGAGGGAGTGAGTGAATCTTACTCTCATCAGATTTGGCTTAAGAGGGGAATAACTGGGGCAGGCTAGGTGGCACAGTGGATAGAACACTGGTCCTGGATTCAGGAGGACCTGATGTCAAATTCAGCTTCAGACACATAACTCTTTCTAGCTGTGTGACCCTGGGTAAGTCACTTAACCCCATTGCCTAGCCCAAAAACAAAACAAACAAAAACAAAAACAAAAACAGAAGGGAATAACAAACACACTCAATTGGGTATGGAAATCTATCTTACCTGACAGGAAAATAAGAGGAAAGGGGATAAGAGAGGGGAGATTATAGAAGGGAGGGCAGATTGGGGGAGGGAATAATCAGAAGCAAATACTTTTGAGGAGGGACAGGGTCAAAGGAAAGAATAGAATAAATGGGGGGAGGGATAGGATGAAGGGAAATATAGTTTTTCACAACATGACTATTATGGAAGTGTTTTGCATGAGTACACATCTATTATTATATTGAGTTAACTTTCTCAATGACGGTGGGTGGGGAGGCAGGAAGGGAAAGAATTTGGAACTCAACGTTTTAAAAATCAATGTTGAAATTGTTTTTGCATGCAACTGGAAAATAAGATACAGGCAATGTGGTATAGAAATCTATCTTACCCTACAGGAAAATAGAAGGGGAAGGGGATAAGAGAATGGGGGGTGATAGAAGAGAGGGCAGACTGGGGGAAAGGGTAATCAGAATGGACACTGTCATGGGGTCTGAGGAGGGGAGAGATGAGAAGGAAATGTGGAACTCAAAATCTTGTGGAAGTGAATGCTGAAAACTAAAAATAAATAAAAATTTAAATAAATAAAAAAGAGCACTACTATCCACATGGCCACTCATTGAGATAAAGGGATGGGTGCAAGATACTTAGGGAGTTACCTCCTGCAGGGTAGAGCTGCTATCAGCCACTACTCCTGTCCAAAACATCAAGCTAGTTTTATTTCTACAATCATCATGGGAAGGCTTTAATAATCACTCAGTTAATCAACAACCATCTTATGAATGTCCCAGGCTCTTGCCTAGGTGTTCATGCCGGGGATATTACTTCTACTCCATACCTCTTACTTGATGGAAATTGTATACCAGAGGGAAGATGGTATGATTCTGTCATTGATGTGTTTTTTACAGAACTCTGAACACCATGGAATTCTGTCATGATAATATTTGGAATCTCTTCATTAAATCACCTGTGGGTTTATGTATCTCTGAGACTCATAAAACCTCAGGCACTTACACTAAAGAGAAACATGATGTCCTTAGGAAGAACAGAAGTCCCAAGTGAGTGAACTTTGCTATGTGGCTCCAAAGAGTTGGAGTACTGCCATAAACTGCTTGGAGTGCAAGGGGCAGTGGGTAATGGACAGTCTTCCCTCATCCAGATTAGGCTAATTAGGTTTTATATAGCTCTGCTATCATCACGGAAGAACTGAAGAAAAAGAAAGTTGATTTTCAGTGGGTAATGTTGTAATAGCAATAAACTTAGCTGTAGTAATAAAAGTGAAGGTCCTAAAAACATGAAGGGCTATGGAAAACAAATCCTCAGCTTCTCAGTTGAACAGAGTGTAAACATACCTGTAAGCATGGACAAAGTGGTGGTCTTTCCTGCTCCATTATGTCCCAGAAGAACAGTGATCTGGCCCTCATATATATTCAGAGTCAGGTTTCTTACGGCCTCTTTGATATTACTCCCCACCACAAATGCCTGTGGAAGAGGCAAAGAAAGAGTAACTTTGCACTCATTTTCCTCACTCTGAAGAACTTAATGACAAGATTAAATATTCAAATTAACTATCCCTAGAAAGTATTCTATCATATATCACTAAGACCAAAGAGGAAATACAAAGGGGGTAGATTTTACTACTTCATGGAGCAAAATAGGATAAAGCTTATCTGCAAAGGAAAATGATTTAGAATTTATCAGTAAAGCTTAAAGTTATAAAGAGAAAACAGCACAGTTATTGCTTTCAGCATATAATGATGTAAAGCTTTAAGAGAAGAGTCTCAGCGTCTGCATGGGTACGTGCAGGCAGAAGCAATACTGTTCTCATATTCTATATACAAATATATGTTGAAATATTACTACCTTTAAAGCACTAGGTTAGATATCTTGGAAAGAAGATGGAGTCTCTGTCCTCAGACACTTGGGAGATAAGACATGTGAATATCAAAATAAATTTATAATACCAGGCTGCCTATGTAAATACTAAGTGAGTATTATAGAAAAGAAGTACTACAGATCTTAAGGGGAAGGAAAGATGATGCTGGGATGGAGAAAGTGACATTTTAGTTGGGCCTTGGAGAAGAGTTAGGATTTTGCTGGGCAGGAAAGAGAGGTAACATTAGAGGCAGGCAGAACAGTGTGAGCAATGGCATACAGCTGAGAAAATATTACATATATTTGAGGTATACTGAATATATATATACACACACACACTAAGATCTCACGTAGAGAAGAAGACATGGATGAGGCAGGAAATATGAGTCACAGTGCATACTACCTTCAATGCCATGCTAAGATGCGTGTACTTTTTCTTGTAGGCTACCAACAGATGCTGCGTGTTAGAGTAAAATGATGATAGAAATGTTTTAGTAAAATGAGTAAAGCAGAAGCATGTTGGAAGTTCAATAGTGATAAATGATAAAAGATTGTGAAAAAATTTGAAGGATGAAGCATAAATTGTTAATTAAAAATTTTAAATTGTACAAACTCTAATAATCAGAGAGAAAAGAAGTTTAAGGGGCCTTCTTATGCCCACTAAATTGGCAAAGAAAGTTTAAAATGATAAAATTCAATTTAGGTGAGACTATAAACAGGTACCACATTTGATGGAACTATCAGTTAATTAAATCTTTCTGATCAAATTGACAATATATGATGAGTGACATAAGAGATCCTTGATCCCACTCAATATTCAAAGATAAATGGATCTATGATCTTATTGACATAAATATTTCTTTTTTTCTTTTCTGAAATTATTGTAAGTTTTTTCAATGGGCAAAAACCTGCCTTTTCTACCTCCCCTACCACTCTTCTACACTGAGAACAAAAGAAAAACAAACCCATTGTTACAAATATTATACACATACATAAAGAAAAACAAATTTCTACATTTCCCATGTCCCCTCCAAAAAAGTCTCATTTTGCACTATGAATCCTTCACCTCTCTATCAGAAAATGGGTCGTATGTGTTTCAACATTAGTCCTCCATAGGAGTGGTTGGTCATTTACCCTAATCATAGTTCCTAATTATTTCCAAGTTTTTGTCTTTATGTAATATTGCTGTCTTTGTAAAATTGTTCTCCTGCTTCTGTTTACTTTATTCTGCATCAGTTCATGTAAATATTCTCAGGTTTCTCTGAAACTATCCCCTTCATCACTTCTTACAGCATAAAGTTTCTACACAGCCTTGGGGTTTTCATCAGGAATGCTTGGAAGTCTTTTATTTCATTAAAAGTTAATTTTCCTCTATAGGATTATACTTAGTTTTGTTGGGTAAGTTATTCTTGGTTATAAGTTCATATCCATTGTCTTTTGGAATACTGTATTCCATTTTCTCTGCTTCTTTATAGTGGTGGTTGTTAAATCATTTGCAGTCATGACTGTGACTCCTCTGAAGCTGAATTTGTTCTTTCTGGTAGCTTCTAGTATTTTTTTTTTTTTTTTTACCTGGAAACGCTGAATTTTGGATATAATGTTCTTGGGAATTTTCACTTTGAGGTTTCAGGAGGTGACTGGTGGATTCCTTCTATTTCCACTTGGCTCTCTGGTTCTATAAGATCTGGACAATTTTAAGATTTCTTGATCTATGATGTCTAGGATCATTTTTTGGTCATGGCATAATTATAAACTGCTTTTCAAAATAGTTGTACCATGTCACAGTTCCATCATTAATGTATTATTGTGCTTATCTTTTTACACCCATTCAACAATGACTGTTGCCATTCTTGGATACTAGACTTTTATCAAAGAAATCTGATGTAAAAAGGTTTCCTATTTAATTGTTTGGGTGGATCTGACTGCATTTCATTTTGCTCATGTAAAACATTTTCAAACGTTTTATATAATCAAAACGTACCACTTAATCTTTTGTGGTCATCTCTAGGAAAGCATTCTCCTCCTAAGGCATCATTGTGAAAGAGATAATAGATAAATAATAGCTCTATCTATCAATAACCACATGATAAATTATCCAAATCATTAATAAGATGAATACAAATTAAAGCAACTTTGAGATTCTACTTCAGATCCATAAGATTGTCAGAAATGACAAATATGGAAAATGACAATTGTAGTTGGGTGGAAACCTATACAGCTTATTCATCAGAATAAATAAAGATTATTTATCTTGGACAGACACTGCCAATAGAAAATGAATTAGGTTCACAATCAAAAAGAAGGAGGAGAGAGAAGTGGATTTCCTTTAAAAATTTTAAATGCCCCCAAGTTTCTCCCTAAAGCAAAAACTCATCTTTTTATTCTTCTGGTAATTGTTGTATGGCTCTTAGGTATAAGGCATTACAGTCACCAAAGAACTGAAACTGAAGATCATTAAAAGGGAAGCACATAGTAGTCATGATAAGGAAAATCAGTGTAAAAGTAAGTCAGAAAAGAAATTTATGAGCAAAGAAAACATGGACTGGTCCCATGTCTGGAACAAAATACAGCCTATGTGCTCCATCAGTGCCCTTGAAATGTCAAGAGAAATTGAAGAAGGCAATGACTTCTGTCTTAGGGCATCATGAAAGTTTCCAGCCAAACCTAGTTTTTCTTAGGAACACCTATTAACAGTAGGGAAAGCACCATATGAAACAGCACTGAACTATTCCATCCCATAAAGGAAAGTACAAGAAGACAGGACCTGAAGCAAAGGCCACTCCAGGTATCAAAGCCTCTGTGTAGCAGACAGTGCCAAGTACTGGGGCTCTAGGTGTACCCTTGGGAGACTGAAACATAGTAGCTCTAGTGGAGTCACTCCATGAGACATAGCACATAACACATTTGTTGGGGATCTATGAGGGGGCAAGAAGATTCTTGGGAGTAGGATCATGTATTCTTCAGTACCTTTGTATTTTCAGTTTGTGCCACTCTCCCCAAGGAATGCACCAATACAGGGGAGATCATAACTTCTGGTTGGGGGGAAGGTATATTTTTGTACTTCTGTCCTTGTTATACCTTCTCAGTAAATTTCCCTCTATGAAAGCTAGAAATTGTGAAGAAAAGCAATTTGGATGATGAGGAAAATGATGAGCTGTCTAAATAGAACTATGTTCATGTAGGGAGAACTTAACTAACCAACTTGGATTTTAAGAAGACATGTACAGAAGATGAAAGATGTATGGATCAAACTGTGGGCAGTGAGACTGCACTGCAGGTCCAAGGACACAACGTAGGCTTACATCAAAACCCAATTATTCATTCTGTTCCCCCCTCTCTAGAGACTCTGGCTCTAGGCTGCAGAAGTTTGCTTGGGTGTTAAACAGCCAGAACGGGCCCATTCAGTACCAAAACTCTGCCGCGGGCTGCAACTTGGAAACACCAGTGCTGCAAAGCTTTGAACTGCCATTGCTGGGGAAAGCAGGCTCTGAATTGCTGGTGCCAAACCAGAGGACTAAGGAACAGAAGGGGTGGGACAGGTCACCAAGACACTAAGCCACTAAGCATATGGGGGCATGGGGGCATTCCACTAAGTCTGAGGGAAGGGGCACATTATGCAGCTGGGGCCAGTTCTGACCACTCAAAAATCAGTTAGGGCAGAAACCTAGGTTGGCCCAGTGTGGAAGAAGGCTGGGATGCTGTGAGATCCAGCCCTCAAGGAAACCACAATTAAAAGGGAGGAAGTCAGGAAGTGAGTGATAAAAGAAAATAAGGAACAAGGGGGAGACTGAAATTACCAAAGATCTGAGGAAGAAGAAAACTCAAAGACTTTGAACATAAACAAAAAAAGCAAGGGGAAAAACAGTAACAACAGAAGGAAATATGGCCTCCAGATCTAGTAATGAGTTTAGGTATTTATGAATAAATACTGCAAAATCAAAGAACATGATCTATCACTTGATGAGGTAGAGGACACCATGGAATTTGAGAACTTCAACCATGACATGCTGTTACTGAGTGGTTTAGAAGAGAAATGAGAATTATGAAAGCAGAATTTATGTTCTGCCCAGCAAAAATAACGATCAGAATAGAAAAACTGGAATCTGCAATGGCAAGCTTTACCAAAGAAACAAAAAAGAGAACAATAGATTGGGAATCTAAATACATAGAAGTCAAGGACAACCTAGAAGAGAAGCAATAATCAAAAACATTAAAAGAAAATATGCTGATTCTGCAAGCAAAACAAATAAAATAATGTATGTGAAAGCTCTCTAAAACTGTAAAACATTAAGCAAATATAAGATCACAGAAAATAACTAAATGTTAGATTTCAAGAAGAGGTCTGAGTCAAAGTAATCTCCTTCATTTTGCTATTGTTTAAAGAAGGAAAATATTGACTACCTTAATACCTTAATCCTTTGATGGCTTTACTTCTTGACAAAAATTAAATGACAACGTTTACATACTTCTTACTGCCTTTCTCCAAGAAAAAGAGTAGACTATATTAACTAACAATATTCTCACTCTGAGATGTTAGGTCTAGCTGAAACTCTGAAATTGTGTGTGTATGCAAGCAATTCTTTCATATTGCAGTTTAATTTGCTTCTCCAGATGTGGGACTCTGGAAGTATAATAGAAACACAGATGAAGTTGTACTTTCAAATTATTTGAATGTGGCCAAACAGGGGTTTGATAATATAAGATTCTGGAGAGCATCCCAGTTCTTTCCACTGTTGGTACATTCAGATGTTGTCATGACTGGAGAAATTCAAAAGAGAAATCTTGTTTTTCTAGTAAGGAGCAAGAAGCAACCAGTTTGCAATGATACAAATTAAGAGTTTACACAGTCTTACCATAGAACAACATAGTTATAGCAGAATGTAAGCTTCTTGAGGGACTATTTCATTTTTGGTTTTGTTCCAAATGGATATGTGATCTAAACATAAAATATCTCATCATTAAAAAAAAGAGAACAGAAGGTACCTCATACAATTATGGTAAGGAGAAAATTCTTATTAAAATAGAATGAAGATAATCATAGATATTAAAAGAAACAATTTCAATTATGTAAAGAAAGCACTTGTGCAAACAAAATCAATGCAGCTATAAGTAGAAGAGACAAACTTGAATGGGAAAAATCTTTGTAGTAAATATCTCTGAGGAAGATATTTTGATATTTATTTTGATTTTGATTTATTTTGACATTTATTAAGATTTATTTTGATATTTATTAAGATTTATTTTGATATTCAAAATAAAAAGGGAATGGACACAAATAAATAAGAATAAGAGTCAGTGGTCAAAGTTTATGACCAGGTAGTTCTCAAAAGAAAAGTATAAACTATGAAAGAAGACTCCAAATCACTAATAACAGGAATGCAAATCAAAACAACACACATACAGCAGCCTGGCAAAGATGACAAAAGCCAAAGATGTAAAATGTTGGAGGGGCTATGAAGTAGTTGAAGTGTTCTGGAAAACTATTTGGAATACTATGAAAAAACTACATATCCTTTGATTAGTGGTATCACTAGTAGGCATATATCCCAAAGAAGTCAAAGACAGAGGGAAAGGTTGAACATGTACAGAAATTATTTATAATAGCACTTTCTGTAGTAGCAAAGAATTGAAAAGAAAGTGAGTACTTATTAATTAGGAAATAACTGACCAAACTGCAGTATATTAATGTATTGGAATATTATTGAACCTTAAGAAATGATAGAAATGAAGTACTCAGAAAAACTTAGGAAAACTGGTGCAAGAAAAAGTAAGCAGAACTAGGGGATTAACTTGAACAATGACTACAATAGCATAGAGGAAAACAATATTGAAAGACTTTAGAATTCTTATCAGTTCCTTGACTAATCATGATTTTAGGGGACTGATGGAGAAATATATTCCATGCCTCTAAAGAGAGGTCAGTCAGTCAATAAACATTCATTAAGGACCTATTATATGCCTGGCACTATGTTAAATACTGGGGATAAAATGAAAGGTAAAAGGCGTTCCTATCTCTTAAGGAGCTCACAATCTAATGAGGAAGACAACATGGAAATAACTATGTATAAACAACGTATATATAGGATAAATTGGAAGAGATATGGTGGATTCAAGGTGCCCCCCCATCCCAATACATTTTCAGACATGGCCAATGTATTGATCTGTTTTGTTTAGCTATTGTTATTTGTTATAAATGTGGCTTTTATTGCAATGCTGAGTGTATGTGTGGAAGGAGTGGATGCCAGTGGGAAGTGACAGTGATGGGAAAAAAAGAGCATAAATAAAATATTATAAAAAAGAAATATTGCATGTATTTTAAAATCCAGTTAAAATTCCACATTTTCCATTAAGTTTTCCCCAATCACTCAGCTGTAATTTTCCTCCTAGATACTGGTGTTTTTTAACCTGGGGTCTATTCATTTATTTATTTTTAAAAAAATATTTCAATAACTGTATCTCAATATAATTGTTTTAATCCTATGTATTTTGGTTTTTGTTTTTAAAAAACATTACTATTAGAAGGCGTCCATGGGTTTCACAGAACCTCTGATATAAAATCTAGATGAAGTAACATTTAGGTTAATTTTCTCTTATCATATCTACAATCAATTAATTAAACAATACATGTTTATTGTTTGCCTATTGTATGGAATGTCTACCTACTAGGCAGACTGGGGGAAATACCAAGAGATAAGATACAGTTGATGCTCTCAAGAAGCTTATAGTCTAGGAATGGTATGCAATTTTACATAAGGGCATTACAATGTTACAAAATAATGTGCTACGTGATATCTAAATGGAAAGGTCATTATTAATGCAGGGTGGGGAAAGTTTAGATAAAAATTCCCAGAGAGAAGGTTTTTGAATTATCTTTTTAAAAATGAAGAAAGAGTTCAATAAGTAAAGGAGGATAGGGTGAGGAAGAACATTCATAGCATATAGAAGCTGAGAAAAAACAGAAGAATGAGAGCACAATGTGTGCTTGGAGGACTGAGGGTTGTCCAGTTTGGTTGGAGTAAAGGTTGAGTGGGAGGGATTAATGTATTCAGGGTGGGGAATGCAGCTTTAAAGATGGGTTCAAGCAGGAGAAGATGTAGAAAACTATTAGAAAATGTGTTTCACAGTCAATAAACAAAAATAGGCTAAAAGTTTATAGACCATTCAGAACTTGAACCCCCATATTTCATGAATATTTTCTTTAAGAACAGTTGGGAGCAATGATGGAATAGACTAGACTTGGGAAAATTAGAAACAATGGAAACACAATAACCCAATGTTCGATAAAGTGGAAAATATAAATTACTTGGTAAAGAACTCTTTATTTGATAAAAACTGTTGGGAAAACTGGAAAGCAGTTTGGCAGAAATTAGACTTAGACCAATTTCTTACCATATTCTATGATATATTATAAATGGATACATTATCTTAATATTAAAAATCATAATATAAAAACAATTAGGAGTGAAGCAGATCGTATACATTTTATATCTATGGGTAGGAGATATATCTTTAACCAAATAAAGAATAGAGACAATTACAAAAGATAACATAGACAACTGATTACATGAACTGAAAAGCTTTCACACAAACAAAATTAATGCATCTAGGAAAAGCAGTTGAATGGGAAAAAAATCTTCAAATTTTTCTGATGTTTGATATCTAACCTATATAAATAACTGATATCTATCTATCTATCTATCTATCTATCTATCTATCTATCTATCATCTATCAATCAAAAGCCATTCCCTAGTAGAGAAATGGTCAAAGGAAAGAATTGTAAACTATTGATAATGATATGAAAGAATTCTCCACATCATTAATAATAACAAAACGCAAATCAAACAATCTTGAAGTTTTACCATACAAAATGGCAAAGATGACAAAAAATATCAATAGTTAATGCTGGAGTAGTTGTGAGAAGACAGGTGTAGTAATACTTTGTTGGTAGAACTGTGAATCAGTACAACTACTTTGGAAAATAATTTGGAATTACACAAATAAAATGACTAAAATGTCCATATCCTTTGATCTGGAGATTTCATTCTTAGGCTTATATCCTGAAGAACCCATTGATAAAAAGAAAATCCCAATATAAACCAAAATATTACTTTTTTGTTATAGCAAAGAACTGGAAACAAAGTACATGCACATCAAATGAAGAATGGTAGTACATGAATTCAATGGAAATATTATTATCCTATAATAAATGCTAAATACAGAGAAGCATGGAAAGATATATACGAACTGATGCAGAATGAAATAATCAGACCCAAGTAAACAATATATTCAATATCTACAATAATGCAAATGGAACAGTCACAAAAAAGTTAAAAGTGAATGTTGCAAAATTATATATTTTTTGATCCTTATATAATAGAATCATAAAATTTGGATTCAAGCATCCTAGGCTATGATGTATTATGACAAGAAATAGCACTTAAGAAGACAAAAAAATCAGACCAGCATTGAACTAGTCCATATGCATATGGATAACACTCATGTTAAAAGCAACATAATCTTGAATGTATTGAGAAATTGTTTTATAGACTATCTCGGGGAGGGAAAGATATCAAAAGAATGGGAGAAATGCAGAATAGTAATATTCAAGAAAGGAGATTTAAAAAAAATCTACTTGTATGTTTACTTTCTCTTTATAAAATTTTTATGAGAATAAAATACTAAACACATACTGAGGCTTTCCTTGATGAAATACAAAAAATGAAAAAGTAAGCTTCTGCAAATATTTTCTTTAGCAGACTACATACTTCCAGTCACACAGAAGATTCCACTTCATTTATTATTATTATTCACTGATTTTGAAAAAAAGCATCATAAAAGCTTCTTAGCTTTTTTGCAGCCTTAAAGGCTCTCCTCCAATGAGAAGTCTTTCATGCATGTAAAATCCCTTAATAAATGAAACCAAGAAGCTAATTATTGATAACTTTCTGATAAATGACTTCAAGAAAGATATAAAACATTATGTTCATAAAAAGTATGCCCAAAGACATATCCTCTATTACCACAGAGGATTGTCGAAGTGGAAGAGGGACTCCATATATATGGTAAAATCCTCTATATGTTCTTGTTTCTCAATGAGATCTTTTAATAGTTTGAAAGAGATTTGTCTAATAACATGTATAGGAATGACAAAATGTATAAAAATGTCTACTGTTCAAACTTTGACAAGCAGCTGGATAACCAGTCCATTTTAGTGAGCCTATTAGTGCTTATATCTGGAACTGTACGGCAGATGGGCAGTGAGTTGGGCCCAGAATTAGATAGGAGAAAGACAGAGAGTGAGATTACATTTTGTTTTAATCTCAAATTTCAGAATCATTTACCTTTTTAAACTCTCCCAGTGTTTGAGATATTGCTTAAAACATAGAAGGCAAAATGAATATTTAATTGAGTTCTTGCCTTCGGGGGCAAATAGTAAATGGTAAACTAGGACTGGAACCGAGATACCCCCATTCTTAGTCCAGGGAACCATATACAACATTGCTTTTACAATAGCTACAATACAGTTCCAGCTGGAAAAAAGATGTAGAAAAATTAAATACCTTGCATAGATGTTTGATCTGTACTCCAGCCACCAATCCTACAGGTTCTGCCTCCATATATTCACTATGTGAGACTTCTTCAGTGTCTATGTGTCTCCTAAGAAGAGGTTTTGGGTATCCATACCAGTAGGAGCGCTAAGATAATAAAAACTGTATTACCAAGATAGGTAGTCAACAAACAATAGAATTGAATTGGAGGATTATAATAGATGAAAACAATATGGCTCTGCTCATTTTGTTGACGAAAATGAATAAAGCATCAGCTAACTCCTAGTTACTGAATTTCTGTAACAAAATGAACTTAGACTTGTCTCCAAAACTCAATGTCAAAACTTCATTAGAATGCAAACTGTCAAAAGGTGTCAAAATGAAGCATCTTTAAAATTGGAGTCATGGCAAAAAGGACAAAAAAAGCAACAGTACTGAATGCTATTGTATTGCTGAGTATGATCATCATTTTATGTAAGCCAAGCAAGTAGTATTCCATGTAGGTCAAAGACCATACATTGTTTCAACTTCATCAACAACCTTAATGATGAAGTTTTTATAATATATTCTTATTTATATCTTTAGAGAGTTGATGGAATTATTTTAAGGGGTTGATTCTTAACCTTCAGGGTGTTTCTGAAAGTGTTAATAGAACAACACTATTCTTTATCTCTGCAACTCTCTTTTAAAGACAAAGGACTTTATAATTCCAGTCTTTTTTATTCATCATATAATACTTGATGGAGAATAATTACTCACAGGGTGGTCTGCATGCTATGTTCACAGATAATATTTAATATTTATATTTTTTATCACATCTGACTATGGCAGTATGGTCATCTGACCATCTGATTCAATTGCAGACATGTTTAAACTGAATTCATTTGTGGATTAATCTAGGACAGAATCCAGAATCCAGGAGAGGAAAAAAAAAGTCTGAGGATTCTGATGATCACTTTTTTACCAACTAGCAAACACCACCACCACCACCAAAACAAAACAAGGCTACTAATAATCTAAGGAACAGCTTCAGAACTCACCTTCAAGAAGAAGTACCATGGCTGAGGCATACCATATTCCCCTGGAAAGACATTTTCCATATACCAAGCTACTAAAGCATAGCACAAAGAATCACACAGCATCATTCCCAGAACATGCCCAAAACTTAAGTTATCCTCAATGCTCACTTCATCCATGAGATTATTCCAATGAACTCCATCCCCTGAAATATACAATAGGAGATAGTTATTACTAGGCTAAGCCTAATCAGAGTTACCCTGAAGGTTCCTGATCAATGAAAAAAAAGTGTAGCCCTATTCCCAGATTATTCTCCTTAATGGAACATCAGCAAGTAGTAATTTGTTTTGAAATTTAAATTTCAAAATAGCAATGAATTTCAGGACTGGATTCACTAGAATCTGTGCGCTGATTTTATGGCAAATGGTAATGATTTACTCTGTGGAAATGGCCTTAACTAAGAGAAATGATTCTGTCATAAGCCAAAGTTGTACCACTTTTAGTAAAGCCCAATTACCTAAAGGATAAATTAGGCAGCAACCATCTATATTACTTACATGCAACAATGCTCCTTTGGCTATCACCATATTATCAAACTATACAAAAATGAATCATGGTCAAACAAGTGTTGTAGTCACCTAGCTTTTCATCAGCTGATCATGGCACAAGCCAAAACCTGGTGAGACCAAAAACTACATTTCAACAAGCCTTGAAATGAAAATTCAGATTCTAGGTCAATAAATAAGGCCATAAGTTGATTTACAGGGTTTTGTTAGGTTAGGACTATAAACCTAAGGAATAGAACTTGGAACACAAGGATTTTGTAATACAGACAACTAAAAGGGGGCACTGGGGCAAATTCATCATCCAGTTTTTTTTTTTAAAACATTGCCTACATTGTTTTCAGTTTCTCCAAGTACCAGAATACTGCAGAACCATGTTGTGCTGTACATTTAGGGAAGAACTAAGAGTAGAAATCACAGTTCAAAACATATTCAAAAAATAAATGTGTGTTCTGGAAGGCGACATACAGAAAGTTTCAAAATGTGTTAGATGATGATAATGATGTCTTGCTGCTGGAATATAAAAATCTGAGGTTTTAATCTAGGGTACAATTTTTTTTTTATCCTGGAAAGAGTTTTTTAACCTTAAAATACTATAGAAATACGCACAATTATCATCAGATTAGGAGTGGCATGCAGTGTAAACATAGTCAACAGAGGTATATTTTGAGCTTTAGAACAGTGAAGGCAGACATAACTTGGTGCCATAATACACCTTCTAGGTGGGGAGGGTAGCTGTTAAGGTGTTGGGGGAGAATTCTGGCTGCCTACAGGGATAGTTTCTATTTTGAGGTTCCAAATTCAATGGCCCCTATCTTTGGGTCAAAAAGAAAGTACATGCATCTTGTCAGAATAAGAGCCTCAAGTCCCAAATCAATGATGCAGTTGAAGTTCCTATGAGAGGAAGAAGAAAGGGGAAGGAGATTTGGGTTCCTATGGGGAAAAAAATCAAGGTACTGGTAATTGTGGTTCGTCAATATGCTGATAAAAGTTCTTAATTCTTTCAAATTGGTTTGCCTCTACAATATTGTTGTCGGGGTTTAAGCTGTTCTCCTGGTTCTATTCACTTCACTCTAAACTGAGACCTGGGAAAGGTCCCACTGCATCTGGGGCCATTTCCAGTTGTCCTGATTTGTATCTTGCCACTGGACCCAGATGGCTCTGGAATAGTGAGGCTGGTGACTTTGCACAGCCCTCCCTCATTTAAATCCAATTCTAATTCCAAATCCAATACTTGCAAGTCAAGTCAAACATCACCTTCCCGATGTTACTGGTCCTCTTCGAAAATGAAGGACAAACAGCAATCAGTTCATATAGGTCTCCCAGGTTTCTCTGCAACCCTCTCCATCATTTCAGCACATTTATGTACTAGCATTTATTCATGTATTCTCCAATTTATACGTATCCCCTCAGTTTCCCCTTCCTTGTTAACTCCAAAAGATCTATATTTTTATGTATTCTTAGAATCTGCTTTGCTTAAGGCTAATTCATCCATAATCTACTCCTTCTAAATCCTCTTCCCTCCCCTCCCCTTTCCCTATTTCCCTGTAGAGTGTTTCTGTACCCAATTGTGTGTATGTATTTTTCTTCTTTTGACCAGTTCAGATAAGAATGAGGTTCAAGTGTCAACCATTCCCAGAGATCGTCTTCATTTGTGTAGATATTTACTGATACACCACGACTGAGATGATTTCCCTGACTTTCTTTCCTCCTCTCCCCTTACCCCCAGTGTATTCTTCCCCTCTACTTATATTCTTCTATTATAACTATAACTCCCAGGACTTGTGTAATAAGACTCCATCTATAACTCTGATGATGATAGGGTTCCAATGGGACACGTGTGTCTACTCTCCATATTTTAATGTAAGCAGTGTGTCTTTGTATAGCCCTTTATCACTGTTCATTCATGTTTACTTCTTTGTGCCTCTTTTTACTCCTATATCAGAACACTTCTGCACAGCTCTGCTCTTTTTGTTAGAAAGGCTTTGAAGTCCTCTATTTCATTAAAGATCTATTTCTTTCCCTGTAGCATTATACTCAGTTTTGCTGAGTAAGTTAGTCTTGGCTGTAAGCCTATGTCCTTTGCCTTCTTGAATAATGTATTCTAAGTTCTCTGCTCCCTAATAGTGGTAGCTGCTAAATCATGTGTGATCCTAACTGAGACTCCTTGGTACCTGAATTCTTTCTTTTTGGCTGCTTGCAGTATTTTTCTTTGAAAACTCTGGATTTAGTTATGATGTTTTAATTTGGGGGTTTCTTTCAGAAGGTGGTTTCTTTCTATTTTTACTTTGACCTGTTTCTTTTTTTTCCCTGACTTTATTTATTTATTTATTTATTTTTAGTTTTCAACATTCACTTCCAGAAGATTTTGAGTTCCAAATTTTCTCCCCATCTCATCCTCCCCCCACCCCAAGATGGCGTGCATTCTGAATATCCCTTCCCCTAATCTGCCCTCCCTTCTATCTCCCCCCATCCTTCTCTTATTCTCTTCCCCTTCAATTGTCCTTTAGGACAGGTTAGATTTTTATACCCCACTGCCTGTATATCTAATTTCCCAGATGCACATGAAAACAATTTTTAACATTTGTTTTTAAAACTTTGGGTTCCAAATTTTCTCCCTTCCTCCGTCCCCACCCACCCTCATTGAAAAGGCAAGCAACTTAACACAATTATACTGGTGAAGTTACACAAAACACTTCCCTAGTAGTCATGTTGTGAAAAACTATGTTTCCCTTAATCCTATCCCATCCCCCATTTATTCTATTCTCTCTTTTGACCCTGTCCCTCCTTAGAAGTGTTTGTTTCTGATTATCCCCTCCCCCAGTCTGCCCTCCTCTCTATCATCTCCCTGCTCTCTTGTCCCCTTCCCCCCTATTTTCCTATAGGGTAAGATAGATTTCCATACCCAATTGAGTGTGTATGGTATTCCCTCCTTAAGCCAAATCTGATGAGAATAAGATTCACTCATCTCACCTTCCCCCTTTTCCCCTCCACTGTAAAAGCCTTTTCTTGTCTGTTTTATGTGAGATAATTTACCCCATTCTACCTCTCCCTTTCTCCTTCTCCCAGTATAATCCTCTCTCACCCCTTAATTTTATTCTCCAGATGTCACCCCTTCGACTCACCCTGTGCCTTCTATCTATCTATCTGTATATATATACATATAATTTTTTCCCTCCAACTACACTAATACTGATAAAAGTCTCGTGAGTTACAAATATCATCTTTCCATGCAGGAATGTAAACAGTTCAGCCTTAGTAAGTCCCTTATGATTTCTCTTTCCTATTTACCACTTTATGTTTCTCTTGAGTCTTGTATTTGAAAGTCAAATTTTCTATTCAGCTCTGGTCTTTTCATCAAGAATGCTTAAGTCCTCTATTTCACTGAATGTCGATTTTTTCCCCTGAAGGATTATACTCAGTTTTGCTATTTTTTGATTCTTTGTTGTAATCCTATCTCCTTTGACCTCTAGAATATTATATTCCAAGCCCTGCGGTCCCTTAATGTAGAAGCTGCTAAATCTTGTGTTATCCTGATTGTGTTTCCACAATGCTTGAATTGTTTTTTTCTGGCTGCTTGCAATATTTTCTCCTTGACCTGGGAACTCTGGAATTTGGCTACAATATTCCTAAGAGTTTTCTTTTGGGGATCTCTTTCAGGAGGTGATGGATGGATTCTTTCAATTTTTATTTTACCCTCTGGTTCTAGAATATCAGGGCAGTTTTCCTTGATAATTTCTTGAAAGATGATGTCTAGGCTCTTTTTTTTTATCATGGCTTTCAGAGAGTCCAATAATTTTTAAATTATCTCTCCTGGATCTATTTTCTAAGTCAGTTGTTTTTCCAATGAGATATTTCACATTGTTTTCTATTTTTTCATTCTTTTGGCTTTGTTTTACAATGTCTTGATTTCTCATAAAATCACTAGCTTCCAATTGCTCTATTCTAATTTTTAAGGAAGTATTTTCTTCAGTAAGCTTTTGGACTTCCTTTTCCATTTGGCCAATGTTGCTTTTTAAGGCATTCTTCTCCTCATTGACTTTTTGGACCTCTTTTGCCATTTGGGTTAGGCTATTTTTTTAAGGTGTTATTTTCTTTAGTATTTTTTTTGGGTCTTCTTTAGCAAGCTGTTGATTTGTTTTTCATGATTTTCTTGCATCACTCTCATTTGTCTTCCCAGTTTTTCCTGTACTTCTCTTACTTGCTTCTCAAAATCCTTTTTGAGCTCTTCCATGGTCTGGGACCAATTCAAATTTTTCTTGGAGGCTTTGGATGTAGGAGCTTTGACTTTTGATTGCAGCCAATTACTTGAGTTATAAACTCTTTCTTAAGGTAGGGGTCTGCTTCCAGTATGGAGAAGGTACTGTCCCAAGCTTCAGGGGCTTTGTGCAGCTGTTTTCAGAGATACTTCTAGGGACCTGTAAATTTTCAGTTCTTCCAAGGTGTTAAGATCAAGGGCGAGGTGTTTACTCCTTTCCTGGCCTGGGCTCTGGTCTATAAGTGACCACAAGCTCTCTTTTCTGCCTTGTAACTGTGAGGAGGATTCCCTCTCCACTGCCACCACAAGCTGTACCACATCAGCGCTCCTCCTCACCCCAGGACCACCACCCAGAACTGTGACCCAGATCTAAGCACAAGCAAA